GAGAGAGAGAGAGAGAGAGAGAGAGAGAGAGAGAGAGAGAGGAGAGAAAGAAAGAGAGAGAGAGAGAGAGACAGACAGAGACAGAGAGAGAGAAGAGAGAGAGAGAAGAGAGACAGACAAGAGAAGAGAAAATGTGAAAAAAATCAAGAAAGAATTAAAAAAATAAAAATACAGACCTTTCTTCATCTCTTGATCTTCGTCTTCATATATAAATCTTTGTGTTGTCTTTGGCCTTGGAGTCTCCGAAGCGCATAAATACCCTCGCGACACTTGGTTAGCTTTTAAAAGTTATGTAAATACGTATTTGAAAATGTAAATGTTTGTATATGCGCGCGCGTGTGTGTCTGATCTATAACCTGCTTCTGGTCTTTCAAGTTGTAGCGTTTACTCCTTTTATATAGAATCTAAATTTAATTTTTATATGACTAAATTTCCAGTGTCGTGATTACCTGATGCTGTGGGGCTAAATACAAATAAAAAGGGGTTCTTTATATCAATAGTTCCAGACACAGAGTTAAAAAGGGGGGGGGGGGCAAAAAGTAACCGGTGTCCGAATTGAATTCTTCTCCCTCCTTGTCTGGTCCTCATGCGAATAGAACCTCAACCATGGCGATGGGTATGTGGCAGCAAGAAACATGGATGTAAACATACGATTGGGCGCACACATACATGCATTCACACACACGCGAACCAACAAACAACACAAACACACTTAAACACATAGTCACACACACGCAAACACACAAACAAACACACACACACATTCACACACACAAACAAACAAACACAAATACACCCAAACACACATTCACACCCAAACACACACACACACACAAAGACAAACACACACAAACACACATAGGTTCCTCCATCAAGAGTATTTAAATGGTAAGCGATTAAATGCCAGCATAGCAGTTCGAAGCCCTTACTCAGAGTAACGCTGGGATGCCTCATGATACAACAGCTCCCCGAGGCTAGTTAACGCGGAGGCCAAGAACCGGCTGGAGGTTGAAATGCCAGGGTGAGTGGTTTTCTCTCTCTCTCTCTCTCTTTCTCTCTCTCTCTCTCTCTTTCTATTGCTCCTCTCTCTCTTTCTCTCTCTCTCTCTCTCTCTTCTCTCTTTCTATTGCTCTCTATCTTTCTATTGCTTTCTTTCTCTTCTCTCTGTCTCTCTCTCTCTCTCTCTCTCTCTCTCTCTCTCTCTCTCTCTCTCTCTCTCTCTCTCTCTCTCTCTCTCTCTCTCTCTCTCTCTCTCTCTCTCTCTTCTCTCTCCCTTCTCCTTGAGGAGGAGCTTGTGGCTTCGACGTATCCTTCTCCAGGTTGTATAGGATGAAGAGGAAGCACTGACAGACAGTCCTTGTGTTGAAGGATTTTAAATACAGATTGGAATTAAAAGGGTGTTGTATAAATATTTGTATCAAAAGGGTGTTATACAAAGATTGGTGTCAAAATGGTGCTATATAGAGATTGGTATTAAAAGGGTGTATAAAAATTGGTATTAAAAGGGTGTTATATAAAGATTGGTATCAAAAAGGTGATAGATAAAGATTGGTATTAAAAGGCTGTTATACAAAGATTGGTAACTAAGTTGGTATTTTTGTCTCCGCTTTTATGAGTCTTAATGATTCTTGAACAAATTTTTTATTTACCTTAAGCACCTTGATACAAATTGTTCATCTGTTGCAAGATCTTTGATTAAATCAACTCTAATCGATTTAATACATATCATTATAAAGTCTTTGATAGACTTTATGATTTATAAATAACGATATCGAACTTCCACGGCGTAACATAATTATCTTTTGACTTTATTAATAATATATCTCTTGATAATGTATCTCTAAACGTAATGTTTAATCTCTAATGATAAATGGAAACCAATCTCTAATATTCATTTACAATCTATATCATTTGAGAACGATTATTAAGCTGTAGTTGAACTGAAGGTACACGTCTGGTATGTGGGACAAAGGTGAATACGCAAAACATTTAAACATTTAATTAAAAAAAGAAAAGAAAAAAAAACATTCCTTTGTTGTCATGAACTAGTTGTAACTCCTAGTTCATCGTTACAGCGACCGGGACACGACCCTCATATCAATAGCAAGACCAATTGCACATATCAATTTGCAACGAAAACCCTCCGCCGCGTCTTGCACCACTCGAGACCCCGCGTCGAAGCCAACGCAGTGACGGACACCAAGAGATTAAAAAAGAAAAAAAAGAAAAAAAAATGAATAAAGAAAAAAGACATGAGAAAGAAAAAAAATGAAATAAATAAAGCAAAAAAGAAAAAAATAAAGAAAAAGAGGAGTAAATAAACAAACAAAAAAGAAATGAATAAAGAAAAAAGAATAGATAAAAAAAGAAATAGATAAAGAATAAATAGAAAAAAGAAAAAAGAAGAAGAAGAAAAAAGTAAAACCATCTCTAAACCCCTTTCTAATTATAGCTATGAACGCATACACACACACACACACATAGCCTAGTAGAAGAAGGC